AATTAGATAGACAGATGTCATATACTTTGTCTAATAGTGGTGTTAACTTTTGACACATTCGATACTTGTCTTGGATTTACTTAAAGAAACTTTAAACTCATTCACCATAATAAATTTTTTAAAAATTACTTAAATTGAAAATCCCGACTTCGTTAGTATGTCGTAAATAGTTTGTGAGAATTCTAAATAATGAGATAATATTAAAAATGAACAATAGAATTTCATACTATAGTTTCGATCAAGAATTTACGACAAAAGGATATAAATTTTTTGATGGGTCCATATGATGATAGTATTTACGAGACTTTATTACAAAACCAACAAACTTTAAGGGGGCGTAGTCTGTTTTGTTACTGACTTAGGTTGGGGTTGTGATAATGTCTATATTTATTATTTATGGACTTTGTGTGTAGTTACTGCTTACTAATAATGTTTCTGCCATATATAAATGTTTCATTATGGTTCAGTTACAACATGTTTATTCTGTGTAATCGGGTTTAATTTAACGTACAATGGCCTAAACTTTGTGGATTCTCGTACTTACTTTTCTAACTTTACGACAAATAACAGGAGAAAGAATGGGGAAACGAAGAGAAAGAACATTTCAGTCCAGTGTCCGTGCTTGAATGTCCATTTGAAGATGACGATGAAGTCTCATATCCTTTTCGGCAAAGACTTGCTGTTACGGAAGGTCAGCTCTCTCTCTCTCTCACACAGAGTTAAACTGAACAAGTTACCATAGCTGATTGAGGAGGCATATACCAACCAACATGGATCGTCACGATAGTGAGGACTATGTTGGACACTCTATCCCTGTTTGACGATCATTATTTGGAAAAAATAATAATTTGAATAGTGATTTTTAGGAGAACTAGTCAGAGTTGAATATGCATTGCACGTGATTTTGAAGTACTTTATAAGTGTCGTTAAAATAATATTTGATACAAATTTGTTGGGAGAATTTAATAAGTCTCAAACGAACTAAATAGAATAAAACTTAGTAAAAAAACTTAATAGAAGAAAATTGCACTTAAAAAACTTAAAGTCTATGATTCAAATTTTTTGTAACGATAAAATACTATAGATGAACAATCATTTTATACTATATTTAATACATAAGAATTATTTGCTGAAACATGAATTTAAACACCTATTAAAATTCCTAGATACATGAATATAAATCAATTCATTTATAATAACACTAGATTTATGTAGATCAAGATTCATTAAATCAAAATTCACTGAGTCTAGATTATTGTGAATGTTAATTAATTAAGAATTAAAACACGAATTTTGTAGTATTTATTACATATTTAAAAACGATAAGTAACCTATTAATGAAATAATTGAATTTTAGTAATATTAAAATCGTCAAAACAATGATTCTCACTTGATGTAAAATTTAACATATTATAGATAAGTGATTAAAAAGTAGGGAAAAATTTTGATTTTACGTACAAAATATTCGAATATGTGGTTGAAATTGAATATGTAAAAAAGGAGTTTTCAAATAATGATTGTCAAATAGGCACTAAATTTTTTAGTTATTTTGCATTTTTTCCCTATAAAATAACTTTACGCAGGGTGTTAGCCCCTAAGACTAACATTGCCCGACTGTCGGGACTGATCCGCCTATGGTACATGTATTGGGTCGGCTGTGTGCCTTGTGCGTGACACATTAGGAATGCTTCTTAAATTACTTGTGGGCTAATAACAAAATAAAGTGTGACATTTAAATGCATATATAGGGACGAAAAAGAAGCTGTTGAAGAAACTCGAGAGGTTCGAGTGCCTTGTTCAACTCGAACCGATCAAACTAGCCAAAAGATTTAGAGGTCTGGAATCCAACGACAATGAATCAGTTGAATCTTCCCTATGGCATTCCGAGGAAAATTTTAGTTTAGATGTCGAAGAAGAACGAGAAAAGAACCATGCTGAACAAAAGGCATCGGAATTACTTCATTTAATGAAATCCACAATGTCATCACTTACCCTCAAACTAAATGCAGAAAATTTGTTATTGGATTACTTCAGAGAAACGATAA